ATTGGTGTATTGGGGGAGGACCTAAAGTCATGGAATGTGTCATGTTGCTAATCAGTTTTCTTTTTTAAATTTTGGTTGTAAATATAGTTACCTTATGTCTTCCCTGGTTATGGAAGTAGTTATGTAGGTAATTGTTAAATGCAGCTGAAAAGACCATTTATCACCCTAAACAAACAGAAATCAGGTTCTAGAACCAGACTGAAGAAGGAAATTACATCACACTCTTAAATAAGGAAGCACTGGGCAGAACTGGATGAGTTGTATGACAAAAATGTGCCCCTCCTCCTCTTGTGGATTGCTCCTGAGATTTATTAATGAGATCTGGTGGTAAGGTGAGCATATCTAGGTTACTGCCTTAAGGTAGCCCGGTAGTGTGTGTGTGTGTGTGTGTGTGTATTTTTTAAAAAGTACTTTCAGAGAGACTATCTGTAAGCTAAAGGCAGGTGATTTCACCTTAATCAAGAAGATGTGCAGTGCAATGACTTGGGTGTAACTTTTTTTTTTTAAAGGAAGGTTACCTTAAATTTAGTAGTAAAAGCACAGTAGGTGCGTTGTAGTCCAGAAGGAGTAGTGTGTTAAGAAAAGGTGAAATTCATTGTTTCGGAAAACCCTCCCCTAATGGCTTCAAGCAAATCCACAGTAACAGACAGAAGTCAATTTAGAAAGCTGTCCACTTGGGTTTTGAAAATGAATTTAGGGTCCATGAGGTGGTTGTGTTACTGCCGGCAGGCCCCTCGCGTGGCACAGCCCCTGTGTCCCTCGCAGGTCTTCACTTTGTCCCTCTTAGCTCTCATCTGACGCACAGCCTGTGTGGAATGACTTTTAGACAGGGTGGGTGCCTTGTTGGTGTCTGCTTAATCACTGTGAACTACAAGTAAATGCTGCTAGGATGGGGATCTGGAGGATGGAGGGGAAACCGGCCCAGCACAACAACCCGAGGACAGAAACGCTGCTTTCCCCGGAGGGAGGTTAGGGGAGGGCAGTGGGAGAGGAGTGGGCCTGAGGGCTCAGTGGGATTCAGATTTGGAGAAGCAGAAACTCAACAACAGAGGCAGAAGCAGGCCAGGACCCGGCCAGGGCTACGCGGAGGCTTCACAGCGGGTGGGTTGGACCACCTGGCTTGCCTGGGCCACACAGCTGAAAAGGAATTGTCACGGCTGCATATAAAATATATAATTATATAAGTAGCAAGACTGCCTTTGTTTAGAGTATTTTTTATGGTGACACAGGTATGTGAAGGCGTGCATGCATGCCAGGGGGAGGTTTTATTTGGGCGCCTTGGAAGGTTCTTGAGCAGGGAAAGAGGCTGGTTTGAGTGGTGTCCCTGGGGGCGGTGGAGCCCATACCGGTGTGCAGTGCAGGTTATCTTCGGACTTGGGGCAGATGGGTGCTGAAAACTGGGAGGAGAATCAGGTTGAGAACAGGTTGAGTATGCATCAGCCTTGACTCGGGTTGGGAGCTGTGCTTCTAGATAGATGTGTGACCCTCCAAACTGGTGTGGGGGTTGCGAAGGAAGCGAAAAGAGGAGTCTGGTTTACAGAGTTTAAATGCCAGCCGCCTATCCAAGTGGAAGGATAATCACTGGACAATAGGAAATGCAGAGTTGAAGCTCAGGCCAGGCTGGAACTATCTATTCAGGGACCATCTCTGTAGAGCTGGAGCCACGGAAGTGAGTTAAAACTTGGCCAAGAAGGGGAGAGGGTGGAGAGAGAATAAAATGAGACCCTCAAAACCCACAGGATTTAAGGTCCCTCCCCTCTCCTTGAATTAAGATGAAAGTCAGTGATGTGAACAGAAGAAGGCAGTCCCTGTCTGGAACTGGTATTTAAGTGCATTTTTGACTTGCTAAAAAGGTAGTTCATGATTGTGAGGAAAGCTGTCATTGCTATGTTATTTGGGTCCTAGTCTACACCATGCTGCCTGGATTAACACTCCCTTTTCAGTTTTTGCATTTCATAACAATGCCATCTTGTCCTTCCAAGTATGGATTTTGCCCTAAATAGGTCACTTTTTTGCAGTTGTTTAATTAATGAATTGTAAAGAGGAACTAATTTCCAGTTACAAGGAGCCAGGTAGAATTTGACACATGCAGCGCTAGATTTCACTGGAGCAGGATTTCTTTCTAGTTTGCAGTTGGCCAAATTGATTGTTGTCTGTCTCCTTCCCTCTCCTCTGTCTTCTCTGTCCGCGCGCTCTCTCTCTGTCACACACACACACTCACATGCACACACAGCATACAGACTGAATACTGGGTTTTCAGAGAGGTAGAAAAGCATTTCAGGTGGTTTCATGCCCTCAATTTATAGTCTGAAGAACAATTTTTTAAAAATTTTCTTCCAAATCTATGGGATATTGCTCTTTTTGGATCTCCAGCTTGAAGTTATTTTCCTGAAGAAGAGAATATGGCAATTATATCGCCCTCCTCATTTCTCCCATGCAAGCGAGTAGGAAGTTCGGACAGTTTCATAACACGGCCCATTCACAATTCCCCATTGAAATGTAGAGGCAGGTCACCTTCTATGAATACACAAAGACACTATTGTGGTCAGAAGTGAGCTGGCTTAGTGAACACAATTCTTTTTATACTAAAAAAATTTTTTTCTTAAGAAAGCTAACAAGTAGGTGATGGAAACAATGAATAAAAAATAACTTTTTCTAGAACGTATAAATAATTTTAAGTGACCATTGAAATGTAAGTTTAGAATTCCAAGGCAATTTCAGCAGAGGCCATCGTTACACAATCGTTCTGTTGAAAGCTGCAGATTTAGATGGCACTAGGAGGCTGACACAGTAATTACTAGTAGTACTCGTTGGCTTGCCGACAGGTGGGGGTTGGGCCTCCAGAACCCCCACAGCATTTTTCTGTAATCTAAATGAACAATCTTCAAACATGTGCTTCCAAACTACTTAAATACCATATTCTTTCCCTATCTTGCCTTTCATTTTTTTATATCACCACAAGTACTTTCCCTGTAGTCTTGCTGGTGCTTGTAGAATGCTTAGAAAAAGCACAGTAAACCACTGGGCTAAGTACCCAGAGAGGAAGGCTGATCACTTTTGTACATTGGTTTTTAAATTTTGAGATAGCTTTACCTGATAGTAACTAACATGTTTGTTCCGTTTCGTACTCCAAAAACCAACCCTCGAAGATCTCCCAATGATTGAGATTTCTTCAGTGGCAGATTTTTTTTAATTTTTAATTTTTTTTTAATGTATCTTTGAGAAGCCAGATTTAAGAAAAATAATGCTTGGCTATTTTAAATATTTTAAACCTATCGTAAAATCTCTGCCTAGCACGTCCAAACAGCTGCTGGCTGGGTGAGGAGATGCAGAGAATCGGTAGCTGGCACCCACTCCCCTTGTCGCTGAAGCCTTTAACCCGTAGAACATTGCTGTCTCCACATTCCTTTTTAATATGAAAAACACACAAGTCATAAACACTTGTGTTTTCTTAGCTCTTCGTCTTACACACTGTATCTGCTCCGTTGATAGGGATGATAGGAATTAGATGGCGTGGTACAGTCTTTCCTTTAACACCTACCCTTCGAGCACCGACTAATGCGATGATTAAAAGGTGGTTGGGGCGCAGCCTCTGTTCCCGAGCCCACAGTCTAGTAAGAGGTGACAGATTTGTAAATACTAGATTTTTAAGTTGTTGAGCAATTATAAAAACCCGCGTGCCCCACCCCCCCGCAGAGGCGTCGTAGTCACCGTCATGGCATCCGCAGTCTTTAGCCTGGCGCCAGTGCTTGGCAGGTGTGCAGATACTTAGTGAGAGCGAGAAAGTGTTGTCATTTATATGGACACTTCCCCAAAGGGTCCTCATGCAGATAGTTGACAGTGTCCTAGTGTCTGAGGAACTAAACGAGAATATCTTAAGGCAGTGAAATGGGTGCTAGTTCGTACTTCATGTGACAAATATTAAAAAAGTAAATTAAAAAGAGACTATGAGGACTCCAGACTGTAACACTTGACAAGAAAGGGGCTCCTAAAGTTTGATAAAAATGTACTTATTTAGCCTTTGGATTTTGCAGTGAGGCAAAGACATGAAATCTGGGCATTTGAGGAGGGAGAATGTAAAGAATGTGCCTTTTAAGTTTGTCTTTGAAAGGGAGGGAGGACTCAGTCCCAGGCTATCACCGAAGCCAGTACTCTGGCAAAACCTGACTTTCACAGGATAATGGAAATTAGAATCTTCACATAGAACGATTTCTTGAGAAAGTAAGAACTGGAGAACGTCTTCCATGGCCAATACAGACACCAAGTAGGTGCTAGGCTGCCAGGCAGTCAGGCACCAGGACTGCAGACTCTTGTTGAAGTGTCAGGTTTTACTGTATATCAGGTCTGCAGTATGCAAGACAGTATTTTTCTGAATTTACTTTGTTAGCTTGGGGAAAGTAAGCCAGACTCACTTTGTGCGTCTTGCCCAGTACAGCCTGGCCTTAGAACAGTGGTGGTGAGACTATGGCAGGCATGTTCTTTTAAGACAAAAGGTGTTAATGTAGGGTTATTTCTTCTCTAAACTAAAACCTCAGTATTCAGGTTTAATGGCAGTGTTCACACTCACTCTGAGTTTCGAGTTATAGTTCGGGCATGTGACCCTAAATCATTCGCCATCCCTGCCTTAGAAGGTTGGTTTAATGGGGTGCAGGGGTTGGGGTGCTTTCCAAAGGGTTCCCTTCGGAAGGGGAGCCTGATCTGTTTTTCTGTTGGTGGGTTGGTCCTCACTCTGTGGAAGCATTTCCGAATCTTGGATTCAGATAGCTAGATAGCTAGGTACACGTACAGATATATAGATCTGTGTTGATGTCTGCATAATATCAGGGTGTGCATTGACCCTCACGAGAAGTAAGAGGTGAAGGCCTGCAACTGAATTTTTCTATTCTACACCCCTCACGTTCCCTAACATAACCTATTTATGCCGTAAGTTAGAGTACCCTGACAAACACGTTTCTGAATTGTTGCCCTGATTCTGCTCTCTCTTCTCCTCTCCCCCTTAGGGAATGCAAGCTACGGGTTGACTTCAAACCCTGGGCTTCACAGACTTGGAAGCATCCCAGAATAAGCACAATGTCCACAGCAGGAGTCGCTGCTCAGGAGATTCGAGTCCCATTAAAGACCGGATTTCTACACAACGGCCAGGCCCTGGGGAATATGAAGACCTGCTGGGGCAGTCGCAGTGAGTTTGAAAAGTAAGTGGAGGCTGCGCCGGGCCGGCCTCTGTGAGGCAGTGTGATGTGGCCGTGCAGAGAATGTGGTGTTCGAGTGTGACTGAGCTCTGTCCTTTCTCCCCTTTCAGTACTTTCTTAAACATCGACCCCATCACCATGGCCTACAGTCTGAACTCGCCAGCCCCGGAGCACCTGCCGTCTGTCAGTACGTATCCTGGTACCCTGGTACCCTGGGCGCGGGGGACGCGGGCCTGGGAAGAGGGAACCTGACAGGCCTGCGGCATTTTAAAAAAGTGGAACCTGAGCTATGTCCAACAATAGTCTGACCCCTAGTGGCAACAGATTCTGAAGGTAATTATTATGTTTTTCTGGACCTGATAGTACGGTGCGCTGCCTTTATCCGCAGGCACAGGCTCCTACTGAGAACTGTGGGAGTCTGGTCTCTCCCATTCAGGAGTGAGTTCTCTCCAGCTGCTTTGCATGCTTAACCTTTTGAAACTTTGGACAAGATCTCGTGTTTGAAAGTGTCAGGTGAAAGTAGTCTGAATGTTCATCTGGCTTAGAAAGTTGCGTGTGTATAGTTCTGTGGATGGGAACAGTATGTTCCTTAGATTTTTGCCGAGCTGCTCATCAGGGAATCTCATTGCCAGCGAGTCCATTCTGTCAGTAGTGCGATGCGCTGGCAGTGAGGACCTTCCCTTACCTCACGCACCCAGCCTGCCCTGTATTGCTGCGTGTCTTGAATAGCAAGGCTGGTATAGCACGGCACTCAGGGAAATTACATGCTGCTCGCCCTCTGCACACTCTGCATGCGTCACGGAACTTGCCCGAGACGTGTGGGTGTGTGCTGTGCGCATGTCCAAGGGAGATGGAGGAGATACCGTGTTCTTTGAACCAGGTCACGTGCGTTCACCATCCTGTGGCTCTGATTAGCCTGAGGTGCTGCCGTGGGTGTCTCCAGCGGGGCTGCCAGAGCTTGGTCTCCCCGAGGTAGCGGGGGCCTCGATCTTACGAACACCCCCTGTCCATTCCAGGGCTCCCCGCACAGTCCGCTCCGGTGAACGGCCACCACTTGGCGGCGGTCGGGCCCTCTCACAAGTCCAGCCTGCCCCCTCTCGTCGTTCCCCCAAGTGAGAGCTTGGGGCAGCGCGAAGAGAACCAAGTCGTGTGTGGCTTGAAGAAACTCTCGGTGAATGGGGTCTGCACCTCCACTCCTCCACTCACCCCGGTAAAAACCTGCCCTTCTTCGCTCTTCCCCTGCGCGGCGCTCTGCGAGCGGGGCTCCAGGCCCCTGCCTCCGCTGCCCATCTCCGAAGACCTCTCTCTGGACGAGACGGACTGTGAGGTAGAGTTCCTGACCAGCTCGGACACCGACTTCCTCCTGGAAGACTGCACGCTCTCCGATTTCAGATATGACCTTCCTGGCAGGCGCAGCTTCCGCGGGTGTGGACAGATCAACTATGCCTACTTTGACACCCCCAGCGTTTCTGCAGCAGATCTCAGCTGCGAGTCTGACCAAAATGGAGGGGTCCCCAGTCCCAATCCTCCTCCCCCTCAGGCCCACCGCAGGTTAAGGAGGTCTCACTCGGGCCCTGCCGGCTCCTTCAACAAGCCCGCCATCCGCATATCCAGCTACACGCACAGAGCTTCGCCTAACTCCGATGAAGACAAGCCTGAGGTCCCCCCCAGGGTTCCCATCCCTCCCCGGCCAGTGAAGCCGGATTACAGGAGGTGGTCAGCAGAGGTGACTTCCAGCACCTACAGTGACGAGGACAGGCCTCCCAAAGTCCCCCCAAGAGAACCTTTGTCCCGGAGCAACTCGCGCACGCCGAGCCCCAAAAGCCTTCCGTCTTACCTCAACGGGGTCATGCCCCCGACCCAGAGCTTTGCTCCGGACCCCAAGTACGTCAGCAGCAAGGCCCTGCAGAGACAGAACAGTGAGGGCTCTGCCAACAAAGTTCCCTGCATCCTGCCCATCATTGAGAACGGCAAGAAGGTGAGCTCCACGCATTACTACCTGCTACCCGAGCGGCCCCCGTACCTGGACAGGTACGAGAAGTTCTTTAGGGAAGCGGAAGAAGCAAACCCCAGCACCCAAGTCCAGCCGCTCCCTGCTGACTATGGTGTGGTTTCGGCCACAGAAAAGATGGACTCTAAGACAAAGCCGGAGCTGGGCGGCCACACGAAGCGCAAACACTTGTCCTATGTGGTTTCTCCTTAGACTCGGGGCTCATGGTGCAGCGGAAGTGACGCAGGAACAGGTGGTTCTCCGTTTTCCGGTTTGGGGTTCGCCCCGAACAGTCTGTCAGATTGCAGAATGGAACAGCTGAACTCTGTGCTGAGGAGAACAGTTGCGAGAGCAGTCGTGAGGTGCTGTTGTGCTGAGAAAAGTTTATTCAAGTTTGTAATTTAAAGATGTGACCGTGGGAAGGGAAGGACGGGGAGGCTTCTTACATGCTACACTATACGCCTATGTATAAACTTGTGGTGTAACCCTAGCCCATAGCTGCAGGTTAACCATTAGTTACTGTCTTAGAGTAATATATATTCAGAGTAATGGAAATCCAGAAAGTGGCTCCCGATAGACCCGAAATTGAGCAAATGGAAGAAAAAAGCAGTATTCTTTAGATCAGAATCATTCAAAAAAATTGTTTTTGTTTAGTTACTAGTTTGAAGATTTCTGGCTCTTAGGCCTGCTAGATTTTGTTCATTTATTTTTGCAAGTAGTCTTCTCCATCGAGGGCAGGGCGCACGTTCTTGACCATGTCTGTACCTGCCTAGTTTCAAAATCATCCCAAGGCTTCGTACTTCCAGGTTTTGTTTTTTGTCTTGTTGAGCGGAGGGATAGCAGCTTGTCTGGAACCGTATCACTACCTGTACATGTGTCACATCTTGAACAAAGAGTATCTGCCAGTAACTTTCCTTACAGCGTCCGCTGACTTGGTGCAGGGAAGTGGCCCCTTGCGGTGTGGGCCGAGGGACAGTGGGACCTGTCCAAGTCAGACACAGGCGTGCCAGGCACCGGGGTTCAGGGTGTCCCTTCTACAAAGAGATGGAGCAGGTAGCTGCGATGGAGTTACTGTGTGGGGATGTGTGTTGTGTTTTTTGTTTTTGTTTTTTTAGACTGTATTAATAAACAAATACAACACAAGCTGGTCTTGTGTTGCTGGTTCCTATTCAGTATTTCCTGGGAATTGTTTGCTTTTTCAGTAAAACACTTCTGAGCAAGAGCATGGTATGTCTTAATGCCAGAGGTCACATCGGCATCGTCCTGCTTTGAACACCCTCACGGCTGGCTGCTTCGCTGCCCCCAGACCCAGCTCGTGTTCCTGTCTTCACATCCTGTGCCGCGTTTATCTTGTTGGATAAGCACGAAAGAGAAGGTGCTCGCTAACAGAGGAACATGACTGCGATGTTCTCTTAACAGTTAAACAAGCTGTTTACAGTTTAAACTGCTGAATGATACTATTTGAGCTATTTAAAGCTTATTTTAGTATGAACTAAATGAAGGTTAAAACATGCTTTAGAAAAATGCACTGATTTCTGCATTATGTGTACAGTATTGGACAAAGGATTTTATTCATTTTGTTGCATTATTTTGAATATTGTCTTTTCATTTTAATAAAGTTATAATACTTATTTATGACACCATCAATAATGTTTCTTGCCTTAAACTCTTATAAAATGTCTCAGTTTGACAACCTTATCATTTCTAACGGGAGGGACGGTTCTTTGAGGTTTATGTCGGAACTTACTATCACTTCCTAAAAGTCAGGTTGAGGGCCTTTATTATAAAATTACAGTGAAAGTGAGCTATTCGCATTTACCTGTAATGAAGAACATGAACTTGATTCTGGTATTGCTGTCAAAAGTTACAGGATCGGGGGGACTTGGAGGTCCCCATCGAGGAAAATGCAGTGCAAGGAACCAGCATGGTGATACAGACTGGGTCGGAATCCCCGGTTCCTCGCTTCTTGGGTGGGGGTGGCAGCCCCTGCATTACGTCTGGCGCGCTCAGGAGGGCGGCTCCGATGGGATGGCCTGGGCTGAAGCTCCACCACTGCCTCGCTCTGCGTGGGGGCAGGTGACGAGAAGGCTCTGCTCCCGCTTTCTCACTGGGGAAGTCGGGGGGCAGTACAGCTGCACATAAACAGCAGTAACAGAGTCCTAGTGAGGGCCCCTCCGTGAGCGTGTTTGTGGTCTTCTGTGTCTGGCAGTACGGGTGGAGACCGCACTGAACAGACAGTGGCACTGCTCACGAGCCAGAGCCTGGGAAAAGAGGAGTCCTTTACGGGATTAAAGCGTACAGCCTAGGGCAGGCGTAGATGAGTTATGAGCAGAGGTGACAGGTGACGGAGGGAAGCTGAGGTGAGCTGGGGGGTGTAAGCAGAGGAAGTGAGTCTGCTGCCTGCCTGCGTGAGGCCCTGGAGCAGGAAAGCTGCAATCCGAGGCAGGGCCAGGGTGGGCAAGGGATGAGGGCAGTGGGCACTGCTCAGGAGCTCCCGGCAGCAGGGAGCGTGGTGTGATGTGTCTTGGAAAAGGTGAGCGGGCTGCTGTGGGAGCTGCAGAGGGGCAGAATGGACGGGGACCCTGGAGGCGAAGGCTGCAGTAGAAAAAGAGGCGAGGGCCACGCGGGGAGACGGGATTGATGGTGGCTTCAGCAGCTCCCTCGGAGGCAGAGGCAGCGAGGCCCAGCAGGAGGAGGGTCTCGCACCGGGGGCCGGGGCTCCAGGCCTCCCTCTGCCCGCCTGGCCCGGGTGGCTGTGAATGCTTGTTGGGTGACCGGGTACAGCACTCCGGGTGCAGCACTTCAGCTCTTCCTCTGCAGCGCCGGTCCCCTGCCTTTCCTTGGTCTCGCAGTTAAGAATATCTTTAGATCAGCTTTCGTCCTTCTTTGCACTTTTTCTTGATTTTGCAAGAATATCCTTTTCCTGTCGTTTTCCCCAGCCACACAGATGTGCTTGCTGCCATGCTGATGGCCCACAGCTGGAGCAGTGCAGGGCCGCGTGCCCGCCCCGGGGTCCCCAGCTGGCACCCGAGCAGGCGGAGCTCGGGAGCCCCACGGCCAGCTCGGTCTCGGCCCCGCCAGCCCTCGGCTGCCGCTCTGATGAGCTGTGGCTTAGGCAGTGCCAGGCGCTCAGAGACCCAGAGTGGTAGCTGTGTCCTGGCCTAAGTTAGGGAAGCCAGACAGGTGCTGGCCGCTCAGTCTCCAAGCCCAGCACTCCTCGTCAGTACTTGTGACCACGCCACAGCACGCTGGACGCGGGCGCCGAGGTTGGGAGGGCCCCTTCGGAAGCCAGCTCGGTGTGGCTGACAGACCCTGTTGCTCCCCGCCTGCGGGAACCGGGTTGCCTGCCTTAGTCCAGCAAACTTCAAAACCATGCTGACAAGCGGGACTGTTTGTTGCTTATTTCCCTCTAGGTCTCAAGAGCTGTCTTAACTCCGTTAAGAAACAACTACCTTTAAGAGGGGCCTTGTTAAAAGGTGGGAAAAATCTTCCAAAATAATTCAGAGTTCATTACAAAGAGCCATGTCCGAAGGTCTGCTGGGTCAGGAATCTGTTTCCCTGTTGGTGGCGATGGTGCTGGAGAGTGAACCTGGGGCTTTGTACGCACCGAGCGTTCACCCCGCTGCCGAGCTACATCCCCAGCCCCAAAGTCAAAACACGCTGTAAACTTCTCCATTTTAGTTCCTAATTTCCTCACATAATTAATAGTCTTAGGGTGTACTGGAGCTTTCTTCCTTAAAAGTGCGCAAAGCGTCCCACAGTTGTTTCATGTATAAGGTTTTTAAACTTTATCTTGCAATAGTTACAGACTCACCTTTCAAAAATAGGGAAGGTTCTCTGTCATCATTCCCGAGTTCACCAGTGATAACATTATCACATCCGGAAACGAACACTGGCCCGATACTCTTTATTTTGAAGAAGTTACTATCAAGATGAACTTTAGGCTGGGTGTGGTGGCACATGCCTATAATAACTCCAGACTCAGGAGGCTGAGGCACGAAGATGGATCACCATGAGTTCGAGGCCAGCTTAGGCTAAATAGCAAGAACCTGTCTCAAAATAAGAAAAGAACTTCAGTTCTGTTGTTAACAGTTAATTTAAAAATTAATTTTGGCTTCTGTTAGGCATTTTGTAAAAAGTTAATGAAACTTTAAAAGATGTCATATAAAGATACATGATACCCGCTGTACCTGGGAAGATAAAACCTTTTTTGGAGGAGGGGGACGTTAGTACTGGGAATCGAACTCAGGACCTTGCACTTGCCAGGCAGGCGCTTGTGCCGCTGAGCTACATCTCCGGCCCAAGGGAAGTTAAAACTTGTGTGTTAACTTCAATCTGCCGAAGCCACCTCCAGGATTGACCAGCCATAGGAAAAACTTTACAGTTTGAGAATTCAGCCGGGCATGGTAGCACACACCTGAAATCCCAGGACTGGGGAGGCTGAGGTAGGAAGATCATTTCGAGTTCGAGGCCAGCCTGAACTGCATAGTGAGACCCTGTCTCAAAAAGAAAAAAAAAACCCCAAAAGCAAAAAACCAATTTGAGAATTCATGAATAGTTTTTCCTTAAAGGCCTCCACGTAATCCATAGGCTTAAAGTTCCACATTTTTTCATCTGCAGTGTGTAACAAGCCAGGAGGCAAAGGCGTTAATTTCTAATCCAATCACAGCTTTGAAGTACTCTTGTCCTAAAGAAAGAAAGTTTTGTTCAAACTCCAGTGCTCTCAGGGACTTGTCTTTGCAGACCGGGTCACTTGACAGAAAGTTCTGGCCCCTTTGCTCCGCAACGTGGGAGTCACACGGTGTGTAAGAGCAGTTTCGGGCTCTGTTTGAGTAATAAAGTAAATCTGGGATCTAGTAGGAGGTCCCCGCGTCTCCACACTGGGCTGCCTCGCCTCTTAGTCCTGTAACTCCACAGAATGATTTAGGTTTGTCTGATGCAATCTGCCTTTTGGAAGGATGGGATTTTTCTTGCTTTTTCACGCGAAAGTGGCAAACTTCAAGACACTTCTACCTAAGCCACCAGGAATCTGCTACTGCAGCATGTTTAAACAAGCTCCCTCTGCTTTTATCTGCCTGGAATTCAGAGTAGTAAACACACTTGTGTGTGTTTTTCTGTACCTAAGCAAATCAAGTGCATCAGAGCAGCCCCATAACTACCATTTATTTGTTCCTCAGTGTCCTGTGGCACATGACAGCCATGGGGTTTGGGGTTCGGAATAGCCAGGAGAGGATCCGTTCCAAGTACCACTTTGTGCCTGTCTTCGAAAAAGCGCTGCTGTCAGGCTGCTGGCCTCACGTCGGTCTCCTCAGGCCACTGCCTCTCACACGGGTTCCAGACACCTAGCAGGAGCCCAGCCGCGCGACCCTCCAGAGAGGCCAGCGAGGTGCGCCAGTCTGCCCCTTTCCCTCGAAGTGGAAAAGTTGGCATCCCCAAAGAACCGGTCCTCAGGAATGTGCCTGACAGTGTGCTCTTGCACAAAAACAGCACCTTCATTCCTTGCAAATAACTTTGGATCTACGTCAGTGAACATCTTAATCACACGCCTTGCGTGGATTTCTTCATTTTACAGTCATGAGGGCTTCGCCCAGCACCTTCCCCGAGACCGCCTGACTTCCGCACCCTCCCCGCTGTGTCAGTCGCAGGGAGTTGTGTCTTTCTGGCCCCAGCGCCAGCCCTCCTCTGGCTGCGCCTCGGAGCGGCCTCGGGCGCAGCGTGCAGGAAGCTGTACTCTGTGTATTTTGAATTCCTGGCTGTCCTCGTGTTCTTGGGTGAACGAGTGTCCTTGTACGCAGTGTTTCTGCTCCATAACTGATCAGCGTTCTTGGCTGAGCAGAAGGCAGCTGACAGTTCCTGCAGCTGGGTGAGTGATGGGAGCCCAGCTCGCCGGCCTCAGGCTGCAGTCAGCTCGGGCACCCACAGCAGCACCGACACAGGACGAGACTTGTCCGTGCACCGCCTGGTCCCAGCCCAGAGCCTCTAATTACGTCTGCTGTTTGCGAGAGCCCAGGTGGCCTGCACCCCCTGCGCCGCGTGGAGATAGCACCGCTCGGCTCTCCCTGCCAGCACAGGGCACCTCCAGCTGGGCGCCGCTCCGTCCCCCACTGCAGTGCCCACATTCCAAGCGAACAACAGCCTATTGAACCGAGGGCTGCTTTTTTTTTTTAAATCATTGCCACAGCTTTATCTTCCGTAGAGACATCAAGCCCCAACTTTTTGTGTTTTTACATCTCCATTCTACATTTGCCCCCGTACGGGCAGGGATTTGTGGCGTCTTCCCCTACAGTGTGGCTTTGTCTCGTGGGGGGGCCCCGGCCATTCCACTTGCCTGCAGATTTCTCTCGCGGTCCCCATTCGTCCCGGCCTCGCTGTTGGCGGACACTGTGCAGGACACGGCACGGGATCAGCGCTGAAACCAAGAAAGTGCAGAGAGGCTGGGTGTGGCAGCGCATGCCTGTGATCCCACCTGCTTGGGAGGCTGAGGCAGGAGAATCAAAGTTGGAGGCCAGCCTGGGCAACTTAGCAAGACCCTGTTTCAAAAAATAAAAAGGGCCACGGGCGCAGCTCAGGGGTAGGGCAGCCCGGGTCCACCTTCCGTACCAACAGAAAAGGACGCGGGATGGGTGTGTGGCTCAGGATAGAGCATA